AAAAAAAAAAAAAAAAAAAAAATCAACATCACCTACTTCTGTTGTTAAAAAAAAAAAAAATCAATGGATATTACATAACAGCATCAACAATTTTATCATTCACTTATTAAATACTGTATTAGTTCTTTAAATTGCATACCACAACCAACCCAAATATCCACCGAAGGGGGAGATACAAAAGTTCTCTATCCACTAAAAGGGTCTGGCCCGGGCCCTTTACCCCTCTTCCTTAAAAGAAAAAAGTATTTTCAAGTTGTAAAACAAGTAATAAAATACTTTTAACTATTCCATTTCTTCTCCTTTTATGACATGACCAGAAGACAACTTGTCTTCAGTATCAAAAAGTAAAAGGTGTCACATCCAGCAGTTTCATGGGACTTCAAGATCAGCTGGTAGCCTTCATCACTCATACCAGTTTTCTAAAAAGTACTTGGGAATATGCTGACAAGGTTTAGCAACATGCAGAATATTAACTGTCTTTCTTGCAATACACCAGTAGCTCAAGTCTGTCTCTTACTGTACCACATGTACAGCTGTGCTGGAAAAAGGAAGCTATTAAATATATTAAAAATCTAGAAATATTACCAATAAAGAGACTTCATCAAATATATGTTCCCCATTTATCCACAAAGAAAATGTTCAAGGTTTAATAACATATGAAAATCACCTGAATGCAAGTCCTGTTGATAATATTTCAAAGCACGCCCCCCCTGCAGTCCTAATCAATTTTATATAGAGACTACAATATGGAGGGTACTGTTTACGGCCACCTTTAGTGTAATTGATCCTGCCAAAGACAGGAATAAAACAAAAAGAAACTTTAAAATGTTCATTCTGAGACTCTTTCAGACTTGGGCCTACTTTAACTTAAAAAATGTATGCCTTGGAGGCCTGCACTGCATTATGCATTACTACTAAAAGCACCATATAAACACAGTAAGAAATTTGAAGTCAAAATATACGCAAAAGTTTATATTCAAAACCATTTACAAAGTATATACTGAGTCATCCCAAATTGACAATTTGAAACAAATTATTTGGTGATTTCTCATTTTTCATTTTAAATTTGATGAAGAATCCTGTATAGGAAATTGAATGCCACTTTTTAAGTATCAGACAGCTCTGCTATTAAAATCATTTGTAAACATGCAACTTAAGAAACCTTTCCCTTCTTTAAAAATACTTCTCTTCAACGAGTTTGAATTTTTACCATTTTTTCTCCTGCATCCCTAGTATTTCTCATCTTACTTCTTTCACCCTACATACAATGAATCTTAAAGTCCTGATTCAAAGCAAAACAATAAACTCCCATCACCAGAAGTTCAGAGGCAGTTAAGTATAAAAAAAGCAAGAGACAGTTAAGTATAAAAAAAGCAAGAGACAGTTGTTTTAAAATATAACAACACGAACTCAATGAAAATTATTGTACAATAGTTTTCAAAGAGTACATAAAGTTCAGTTATGACTGAAAGAAAAATCAAAACTACTTTGGAAATCTGAAGTATTCTTGTAAGTTCAATTCATTTTTCTCCTGTTAATTTCATTGATCTTAATGTTTTTTAGGGATTAAAAAAAAAACCTGTAAGGTTAAGGGTGGTTGAATTATCTATATCTGAAAATATTTTTTTCAATTTAAAATACAGACTAGTGTTCATTTGTATTGATTTTTTAAATTAAAATATATCTAACTCAAGCTTGAAAGCCTGAAAAGGCCGTATTTTCATTGAAGTCATTAAATCCCTTCATTATAAGAATGTAATCACTGTCTGAGATCTTACAACAGTTAATAAGGTCTAAACATACTAGCTTTGCAAAACTAACTCTGAAGTAATACAATAGCTCCAGTATACTGCAAATTCAAAGGAAAATGTCACTGAGTTCAAGATTGAGGACATTTGTGCGGACTTTCAAAAACTTTTAACACCTTTTTACTCTTAACAAGGTGTACCGGCCCTGAATAATGGTTAGGCTAAAATAAGGGCCAACTGTGTTTATAATTCTAAAGTGAAATACTGAGTTTTCAAATTGGTAATATATTGTTTGACAGTCACAGCGTTCAGCATAAACATTACATTAGAAGATTTAATTTTCTGATCTTCCATGTCGTGGGAAATTGTAATGTTTAAAGAACATAATTTGTACCTGCAACAGAACTAAACGGCTAAAACCAGTCCTTTTAAAAAAGTGAAATAATTTAATTTTCTTAAAATCCGGTGCAAAACATGTTTACCTCAAGACAGAAAGGAGGAATAATGGCTCATTAATCACTCCATTTAAACAATGTTTCATCACAAGGGCTATTTTTACTTGTCATGCAAATAGGGTGCTTAAAACTGGGTCATATTTCAATCCAAAACCAATGCCCCAAGCACACAAATATATTTCCAAGAACAGCAAATCCATAAATAAGGTATAGTCAAGCTCCCCAAAATTAAAAACAAATTACATAACTTACTCTGTTTTCCTTCTTTGTTTGTCCTCAAAGATGTCATTGAGATTGATTGCCACCTGCCCTAAAAATTTATCCAGCCCCACCAGAGATCTGTGCATAACTATAAGGAAAAGAATGTATTTCTCCGGATTCCCCTGCATTAGCAATCCAGGCAGCTCAAAGGAGGCCTCTTCCTTCCAGACTGGCTCAAGGGTTTTTTCAGCTACAGAGGTGGAATACTTTTCCTTGCCCAGCTGAATTATAGTGTATGTGTCATTGGTGCCACTTTTGCCTTTTGGCTTCAGATCTTTGGCTTGGAGCACTGTGACCTGCACGTGGGTTGGGAACCACTTTTGGGCTTGCTCGGACAGCATCATTCTGTCCTTTTTCTCCGCACTGAGTTCACAAGAGCAGGCAGCGCCCCTCCCGCGGGGAGAGCCTAATTCCTTAAATCACTGCATTCTCGGGGCATTTAACGGAGCCAGGACGACTGGGGCTTCCCAAGGTCCCTAGGGCTGATGTCAAAACGCCTCACGGGGGCAGCCTGCGGTCACGGCTGCTCTGGGGATCCCTTTCCTCTGGAAGAGCACAGGGGCCCACATCACCTGGCCACGCCGTCCAGGCCTCCGCGCCTCTGTCTCCACCTTCCCGCGGCACCCGCCTCGGGCACCGG